GCACCCTGTTATCAATACCTCTGGGTTTTCGCCAGTTTCGCTTAATCTTGACATATCGGTCTGACTGGTGCCGGATGAACTTCTTGGTCCTCTTTTTGACGATCTTGGGCTTCACCAGAGGCCGGAGGGCAGCCATGATGCCGCAAAGGAGATGGCAGCCACCTCGCAGGTAGCGCCGAGGAAGAAGGAAGGGCCTGTTTTACAATTTTTAAACAGCTTTTCACAATACATGCATTTCTTTTGTTAATGTTATAATAAGTTTCATGTTTAATGAAATAAAAATATTATATCTGATTTTTATACTCATTTATTTATTATTCTCTGAAAGTAAAACATTAGGCTTCAGTGGATATACATTTACTAAAGGACCACTATGTACTTCATTATACTTATTAAATGAATTATTCCATTGTATTGAAAAACAAGAAACTATCTGAAGCTCTGGGTATTCTTTTTTGTCCCAAACCCTGTCTCCTGTTATCTGCTTTGACCTGAATTTCTTAAATAGTTAGCATTCAGTGATGAGATGATCTTTGATAAGTGGGTAGGAGTCATTTCAAATAACTGTTACCATAGGCAACCAAAAGCTACCTTGGCATTAATTATATGTAAATTCATCCTTTGATAAATGCTATTCTTTGAGATAAAAGCTGATGATGCCCACAAATTAGAACACTTTGACACAATTATGTTTTCTGTGGGGGAAATTAATTGAAATCTACAAAGGTCAAGAAGTGTTAGTGAGTAAACTTAATATTAGCTTGGAACTATCCATTTTATTTTCATCTCTATCCTTCTGTTTTAATCAGCAGTGTGTGACATTAACCTTCAAGAGAAGCTGAACACTTATAAGAGATTACAGTTTTTATCTGTTCACTTACCCGCAAAATATGTTACCTGCTTCTTATTTCTAGAAGGCTGTGATGTGCACATAGAGCAATTTCAGAGATGAGAGAAGCAAATTTTATTATCAGCCATAGATTCTAAGTAATTTACTTACGATTGGACCATCCTGATATGCACTGCCAAAATAAACAACAGCTCTTCCCTGTCCCCAGCATCAGCTCTCATCAGTAAATGGACATTGCATATAAACCTAAGGGTTAGTTTGCTGCTACCTCTTAAGTGATGTCCATGTAAAACAGCAGATCGTTGACAAGTAGAAAACTTAAAGCACTGTAGAGAAATTGAATGTTGACTTGAAACATTAAAGAAAACTAGAGTATAATTCGTACTTTTTAGGAGTTTCACACTCACATATCAAGAGGGACTCGGAAGGAAGCCCAAGAAGTAATTGGTTTGTCAGGATTGGGTCTCTGGCTGCCCAGAGCAGCAGCTCTGTTTAGCAAAAGCCATTGGCCACCAGAGCTACTTATATTCCAAAAGAAGGTAGAAACCTAGATTTTCGTGTGGAATCTGATAGGTTGAAGGTTTAGGTAGTTTTATTATTTATTACACCAGTGAAAACTCAAGTTTTAGGAATTGTGGGTCAAACACACATTTGTGCTAAATTTCATAGTTTATCACTCTGTACTTCTTTACTGCGAATAGTAAGTTTAAATGTATAGTTAGTTAAGTAAGCCCCGGACAAAATGTCACAAATGGAATTGTTGAAATATTTAAGCTATAACATACTTCAGATAAGCTAGAAACTGGGGAATGAGACCTGTAACTACTCAATGTAGTTACGTGATCAGTCTCATTGAGGCCAGTGCCATAAAACCTGCTTTTAATTGAGTCAGAGCTAATTTGTATATATTTGGTTTTGATACAAAAAGAGAAGCTTCCTAATTAATACAAAAAGCAGCTTACAATTACCATTCTGGTGGTGGTAAAGTGATTTCTCATGGTGGCTGTATTTCGCATTTCCCTAATGACTAATGATGTATGGAGTAGCCAGTTTTTTGTTTTCCTTGTTGTTGGTTTATTTAAGATTTATTATTTTATTTTTATTTTTGGTTGACTCCTTCCTGCCTTCAAAAGCAGGACCAGCTGGAAAACTATTCCATATTACCAAACTTACTGTCAGCTCCTTCTGGACGGCAGCTGATCCTAGGAAACACTTTCCAGAAAACTTTGCCTCAATGTGCTGCTGTCTTCTTAGTCACAGCTGATTCTTCAGTTTCTACTGATGAGTGACAGCCCAAAAAAGCAAAGATTTCACTTTATAGAGTTCTTAACTCAAAGTACCGCGTGGACCACCATGGTAGAGTATGGGTGGGATTTGTAAACTTTACAGCCAGGCCTTCATCATCTGTACTTTTCTCAGAATTATGTCTAAGTTCCCACAACAGCTTAAGCTCTGAACACTTGATGATGTTTCTGACTTTTATTATTATTCTATTATTACCGCTGAAACATGGTCAGGTCTGTCATAGCAATACCCCACTCCTAGTAATAATCTTCTGTCTTAGTACTTGTCTGCTACTGTGATAATCACCATGACTAAAAGCAACTTGAGGAGAAAAGGGCTTATTTCATCTTAGAACTTGAAATCCATTGTTCAAGGAAGTCAGGACAGGAACTGGAACAGAAACCATGAGGGAGCATGCTTACTAGATCGATCCTTCATGACCACTCCTGGGTAGGTGGCACCACCCACAGTGAACTGGGCTCTTTCACATCAATCACAAATCAAGAAAATGCCCTATAGGCCAATATTGTGGGGCGATTTTCAGTTGTGGTTTTATCTTCTATGTAATTCTCACCAGTGTCGAGTTGACATGAGAATTTATCAGCATAAAGTCCTTTTGCCTTCCTTTGATGCATAAAATTGTTTTTAATTTCTAGTAGAACAGTTTATCTATTTACTTTTAAAGATTTACTAATTTTATTTTAGTATTTGAGTGTATGTCTGTACACCATGTGCATACTTAGTAGTACTTGAGGAAGTCAGAAGAGGGCATTGAATCCCCTAGGACTCTTGTTAGGATTAAGGTTGTGAACTGTCGGGTGGGTGCTGGGAGTCAAACCCCAGTCCTCGACAAAGATAACTGTTTTTAACTACTAAGCCATCTCTCCAGCTCTCATCTGTTTGTTTTTGTCATGTAGTGATGGTGGGGGAGACAAGGTCTATGAATTCCTTGTCAAGGGCATGATGTTGCATATATACTCCCTGCCCCAGAGAGGCAGAGACGGGTAGATCTATGTGAGTTCTAGGTGCCTTGGATTCAGAATGACACTCTTAGATACAGAATGAGAATTTTCCTTGCCATATCCAAAGACATTAGTATTTTCTTTGCATTTATTTCTAGGAATTGTACAATGTTAGCTTTTGGTATATTTTGACTTAATATTTTGCATATATTGTGAAGTAGGCTTCGAATTCATTCTCTCTCATGCTCCAAAGAATCATCATTCTTTTAACCACTTCTGTGAAATAAATTTTATGCCTTCTTACTTTACAGAGAATGCAAAGCCAACATGAACTAAAACCATTTTTATGACATGAAGTACCAAAAGAATAAGTAACAAAAAGAAAAATAGATGGAATGGGGTTCATCAAAACTAAAAACTGGTTTTCTGAGATCACCATCAGAAATTGAAAGACAGCCCTGAGACTGGAAAACAGTGTTGTCTAACGTCTAATATCAAAAGAACTCTTAGGAATCAATAATAAAGCAATAAAGATACAATTTAACATCAGCAGATGATTTGAACAGTTATTTCCCTAGTGAAGAGCTACAGGTGGTCAAGAACCATGTGAACATGCTTGAGATCTTTAAACATGAGTAAAACACAAAGCAACCCCTTTGGGGTGGTGGGCAAATTATCAAAGATATGGCAGTATTGAAACATTCCTTCCCTGATGATAGGAATAGAGAATGATAACGTCACCTTAGAAAATAGTTTGTTTAGTTCATCAAAAGTAAACATTGTAGCCCAGCAGTTCCACTCCAGCTGAAACATTCATCCCCACAAGACTTACAGACGAATGTTCTTAGCCAAAGTAGAGATAACCCAGTGTCCATCAACAGATGGCTGAGTAAACAGAATAGATAGCCATACAATGGAATATTAAGTCCACAATAAAAAAGACTACAGGGTTAACTGGGCAGTGGTACTGCACACCTTAATTCCAGCACTTAAGAAGCAGAGGCAAGCAGATCTCTGGGTGGGAGGCCAGCCTGGTCTACATAATGAGTCCCAGGACAACTACAGCTACACAGAGAAACCCTGTTTGCAAAAAGAAAAAAGGTTTATTGTTGGTTTGGTCTTTTGAGACAGAGTCCAGCTGTCCAACTGAACAGCTCTGACTTGTCTGTTACTCACTATGTAGAACAGGCTTGGGGCACAAAAAATAAAAACCCAGAAATAGATAGACATCGGGGTTCAAGGTAAAGATCAGAAAAGCAAAGCAGCCAGGTCACCAGAGAACTCTTACCTCTATAAGATCTCCAGACTGAAAGAGCATGAGTTCCTGTCTCATCCCGCCTTACCTTCCTCTCTAGTGCTGGGATTAAAGGTGTGCACCACCACTGCCTGTCTTGTTTGGCTGATTAGTGTGGCTGCTTTGCACTGATCTTCAGGCAAGCATTATTTATTAAAACCAAAATAATATACCATTATACAGGCTGGCCTTGTACTCATAGAAATCTGCCTGCCTCTACCTCTCAAATGCCACCACGCCCAGTGTGGGTGAACTTGAAAATTAGCGCGATTGCATATGAAGTGTCTTCTGTGATGTGTACATTTTTGTGAAGTGTCCTGGGGGGAAATGTGAAGGTACCAAATTAGTGATTGCCAAAGGAAGGAAATGGGGAGTAACTGATACATCCAAAATTTCTTTTTCAAATGAAAATGTTCTAGACTTTGAGAAAAGCAGCAACTTTATACTGTGACCACACTAAATCCCATTGGATTATATATATTAAAATGTGGATTGTGTAATATATAAAATATATCATAATAATATTTTAAGTGATCATATGCTAATATTCTTATACTTTAGTACAATACTAACTTAATACATGCCCTAAAAATAGTTTTTTATATTTTAGAAACTTATCTTGGCATCCTGCCTTGACCACTAAAAGTAAAATGAGGAATCCACATTCTCATGCATTTATTGATCTGACCGAAGATTTTACAGCAGGTGAGTTTCATAGAAATGAAATGTATTATGATCTGCCTAAGAATAATGGGATTTTTATATCCCCATAAAAATAATTTCTTAATCACATTATGCTATGATCAAACCTTTAAAAAGTTACAATGTAATGTAGGTAGCAGAAGGTTAATATACTGGAAATAAGAGGAAGTATTTAGTGTGATGAATATGACCTTAGTTCTTACAGTTTTTGTTCATGTTAAACACCTTATATTTGAATTCTCTACTGTTTAGAAATTTTTTATAATTTGGACATATGCCACTCAATATTTCTTTTTCTTATATTTAATGCTTTTACTAATAAATACCATAAAAATTAATGGTTGAAAAATTATTTAGCTTGAATCCTGAAAAGGGGCAAATAAGAACTGTTGTTGACTGTGGAGCACTTGCTGGTTAGTGCTTTAGCACTGAGCTCCTTCTTCAGGCCTGGAGACTCCTGTAATATGTTACACATTTGCCCATTGCCTGGCTTTAAGAATTATAAGTGCTACATATATGTGGATAATTTATCTGAATGCTACCATATGTCCCTTCATCTCAGAAAATCTTAAAGAAAATCACAAATTTCTCATTTCACTTGTGAATACTTCAGTATGTACTTCTAAATAAGAATGAGTATTTTAAAGATTCATTATGTTTATTTAGTGTATATAAGAGTTTTGCATGCATGTCATGTACCACATGTGTGCTAGTACCTAATGACACTGAAAGGGGGCACTGGATCCTGGAGTTCAGATGACTGTAAGCCACCATATGGGTTCTGAAACTAAATCATAGTCCTCGGAAAGAGCAACAAGTGCTCTAGACTAACTGAGCCATCTCTTCTAGCCCAAGAAAATTTTTTCTTTATTTCCACCAGTAGATTGATTATTCTGAACCCAAAATGATTTACAATAATTATTTAATAGTAAGTATATAGTCATTATTCAGAATAACCCTATATATTCCTCAGGGTTCAGTTTTGTTTTGTTTTTGTTTTTTGGGTTTGTTTGTTTGGATGGTTGGTTTTTCGAGACAGGGTTTCTCTGTAGCTTTGGGGCCTGTCCTGAAACTAGCTCTTGTAGACCAGGTCGGCCTCAAACTCACAGAGATCTGCCTGCCTCTGCCTCCCGAGTGCTGGGATTAAAGGCAACAGAATACCATACAAAGAAATGTTACCAGTTTGCAGAAATATCTCTTTTCTGAGTCTGCTCTGGTTTGAAAGAAAATGACACCAAATGTAGCGACACTATTAGGAGATGTGGCTTTGTTGGTATGTGTGGCCTTGGTAAGTGTGTCACTGTGGAGGCAGACGCTGAGGTCTCATATATGCTCAAGCCATGCCCAGTATCTTAGTTCACTTTCTGTTACCTGCACAAGATGTAGAACTCTCAGCTACCTCTCCACTGCCGTATCTTCCTGTACATTGCCACATCCCACCATGATGTTAATAGACTGAACCTCTGAACTGTAAGCCGTCCCATTAACTGTTTTCCTTTAAAAGAATTGCCATGGTCATGGTGTCTCTTCATAGCAATAGAAACCCTAACTAAGGAATCTGTCTCCATGGTGTTTCTGTGTTACTTTGTCCTTAGGTTTCAGTAGTTAGAGTCTGGAACATAGTCTGTGTCTTAGCTAATTAAGAAGATGCATAAATTTTTAATGTGTTATGATATTAAAATTCAATATCATAGTAAATTTCAACTTACTGGGCACAGATCATTATAATCCCCTTTCATGGATTTAGGCAGTATAGTGGTTATTGTCAAAGCCATTGTTTCAAAACAGTTAGAATGGCACTATGTCTTTCGCTCTTTTACATTAAGTGTTACCTGGAATTGTCTGTTAATAAAAAGAACTGCTGCCATTATCTCTTTAGTCACCTGAAGTACAATTGAGACAGGCAAAATAAATGAAATAAATGAAATAAATGTTTGTTCTCTCATCCCATCAATTTTGGGCAGTCAATCCTCACAATCCAAATTTTCAATAACATTGTATCGTAAATCAGGAAACTAATTGCAACTTATTAAATCAGGCCTGGTAAGTGCTAGCAGTAAATATCTTCTTTTAATAGTATCATGTAGCCAGGTATGTTGATGTTTGCTGATAACCCTAACACTTAGAACCAAGGCAGGAAGGTCCCAAATTCCAGGCCAGTCTGGGCTACACAGTCTGTCTCAAAAACCTAAAAGAGTGCTCGATGGCTGGCAAAAAAAAACAGCAATTAAAACATCTGCAGCCTAATTTCCTGAGTTCAATCCCTGGGACCCACACGGGAAAGGAAGAGAACTAACTCCTGCAAATCCCCTCTACCTTCCCATGTTTGCCATGGCACATGAAACATGCGCACAAAATGGAAGCAATAATGCTTACCAAAAAAAAGGTATTCTAAGATGAAATACTTAAATTTTATTTGAGACAAAAAATAAGTAAAATTTTATAACCATATGTTAGTAGATTGTTGACTAAGAATTCTTCTAGTATATTTTCACTGTTTGTATATAATTTGCAATGTTAAGAAAATTGTAAGGACCCGAGTAAGTATGCTCTACATCTTACCAATTTTAAATAAAGAAAAAACATTACTGTTCTGATAAGTTTATTACGGTTCAAACTTCCTGGGTCCTTGAATGTGCATCAAAATGGAGGCATTGACGAAACAGCAGATGTTCTAGTGTAGCATGTCTGGTTTGCTAAATCATACCAAACCTCCAGGAAAGGTTCTGAGTGTATTGTAATAAAAGCCACTCTTTTTAATTTATTTTTTAAACTATTTTTTCTTGTGTTACATACCATTCCCAGTTCCCACTCCCTCCTGTCCTCCCCCATCCCCACCTCACCGCTCATCCTCGCCTCACAGAGCCGTGGGAGGTCAACAAAGTCTAGCATGTTTCTTTGATGCAGGACCAAGGCCCTTCCCAATATATCTAGGCTGAGCAAGGTATCCCTCTAAAGAGAATAGGCTCCAAAAAGCCCTTACAAGCAGTAGGGATAAATCCTGGTCTTACTTCCAGTGACCCCACTGTCTGCCCCAGTCATACAACTATCAACCACATTCAAAGGGCCTAGTTTGGTCCCACGCTGGTTGTCCCCAACCCCCCTCCACCCCTCCACAGGGCAAAGCCAGTTCAGGCACCCTCACCACAATTGCTTAGGGTCTTAACTGGGATCATCCTTGTGTATTTCTGGGATTTTCCTAGTGCCAGGTATCTTGCTAGCCCCATAATGGGTCCCTATATCAAGATATCTCTTTCCTTGCTCTCCCTCTCTGTCCTTTCCCCATCTTGACCATCCCTTTCCCTCAAATTCTCCTCTCATTTCCCTTTTCCTGCCCTACCACCTCTTCTGTCCCTTCTCCCCCTAGCCGCACCCTCCCAATTTTTTCAGGAGATCTTGTCTATTTCCCTTTCTCAAGGGGATCCATGTATGATTTTCCTTACCTGTAGCCTAACTTCTCTGGAGTCATGAATTATAGGCTCCTTTTGCTTTGCTTTACATCTAGTATCCACTTATGAGTGAGTACATACCTTGCTGTTCTCTGCATCTGAGTTACCTCACTCAGGATGATTTTTTTCTAGTTCCATCCATTTGCATGCAAATTTCAAGATGTCATTTTTTTTAAAACTTCTGAATAGTATTCCATTGTGTAAATGTACCATATTTTCTTTATCCATTCTTTGGTTGAGGAACATCTAGGTTGTTTACAGGTTGTGACTATTACAAATAAAGCTTCTGTGAACATAGTTGAGCACATGTCCTTATAGTAGATTGAACATCCTTTGGGTATGTGCCCAAGAGTGGTATTGCTGGGTCCTGAGGTAGGTTGATTCCCAATTTTCTGAGAAACCGCCATACTGATTTCCAGAGTGAAATTGTACAAGTTTGCATTCCCACCAGCTAAGGATGAGTGTCCCCCTTACTCCACATTCTCTCCAGTATAAGCTATCATTGGTGTTTTTTATCTTAGCCATTCTGACTGGTGTAAGATGGAATCTCAGAGTTGTTTTGATTTCCATTTTCCTGATGGCTAAGGATGTTGAACATTTCTTCAAGTGTCTTTCAGCCATTTGAGATTCTTCTGTTGAGAATTCTGTTTATTTCCATACCCTATTTTAAAATTAGATAATTTGTTATTTTGATGTCTAAATTCTTGAGTTCTTTATGTATTTTGGAGATCATTCCTCTGTGTGGTGTGGGGTCAGTGACGACCTTTTCCCATTTGATGAGCTGCCTTTTTGTCTTACTGACTGTGTTCTTTGCTTTACAGAGGTTCTCAGTTTCAGAAGGTCCCATTTATTTATTGTTGTTCTCAGTGTCTTTATTACTGGCATTATATTTAGGAAATGGTCTCTTGTGCCAATGTGTTGAAATTCAATTCTCACTTTTTCTTCTGTGAGGTTTGCTGTTAATGAGAGACTTTTGATGACTGTTTCTATTTCCTTTATGGTTATAGGTGCATTTAACTTGCTTATCTGGTCTTTATTTAATTTTGGTAAGTGATATTTATCCAGAAAATTGTCCATTTCCTTTAAGTTTCCCAGTTTTGTGGAGTACAGACTTTTGAAGTATGACCTGAAGATGATTCTCTACATTTCCTATGTGTTTATTGTTATGTCCCCTTTTCATTTCTGATTTTGTTAATTTGGATATTGTCTCTCTGTCTTTTGTTCAGTTGTTATTTTGTGGCAGTATTTTTTATTGAAGATATTCTGATTGTGGTTTCTTCCAACTCCTCCCAGATCTTCCCTGACCCTCCACACACCCCAAATTACACCCTTTCTCTTTGTCTCTCTTTCTTTAGAATACAAATAAGCGTCTAATAATCATAATAAAATAGGATAAAATAAAACAAACAAACAAGAATATGATGAAGAAAACAAACTACCAGGAGAAAAGGAACCAAACAAAAAGCTCAAGAAACACCTCCCTTCTCAACAGTGGGGCCCCATCTAGTTCAGGCACATTCAGGGAATGTGCGGACTGAGCCTTTCCTCTTCCCA